CGAAGTCATCCTCGAGAAGGCTGCGGCATATGAGGAACTACTGAATAGACTGTTATGTGTGAATTCAGGGCTTAGAGGACGTCTTGAGGAAGCCAAGGAAATGATGAGGACGGGAACTGGTGGACGGAGAGTGGATGAGGATGGAGGAACTGGGGGAGGAGGTCTGGGGAGAGGTAGGAGTTATGCCTCGGTCGTAGAGGATGGGTTTGGGAGAGGCTTGAGGGATGGAAGAAAGGAAAGGAGTGAACTGGTAAGAGCGACTGAGATGACTAGAATGAGAGACAGAAGTAGAAGCAGAGGGCATGCAATGGTTGTTAAAGGTATCGATGGAAAGCTGAGTGACGAAACGGTGAAGAAGAAAATGGTTAAGATGCTCGAGGAAGAAATTAAAGTCAGAGTAAGGACGGTTAGGACTGCGAGGAATGGTGGTGTAGTGGTCCAAGTGGCCAGTAAAGAGGAATGTGATAGAGTCAAGAACTCAGGTAGGATTGCGAGAATGGGTTTAGTGGCGGTGGAACTTAGGGTTATAGGGCCTAAGATCATCGTGTACGATGTCCCGCAGGCCCTAAGGAGTGAGGAACTACTAGATTAACTATATGAGAGAAATTTGAAGGATGTTTTAGAAAAAGAGGAGTTTAACAGTAGATTCAGAATTATTAATAGGTTCAGTAAAAAGGATACCAATACGGGGAACGTAGTAATTGAAGTAAGTGGATATGCGTTCCGAAGACTGATGCACGACAGAAGGATCTATGCGCGATGCGAGTCGTACAGGATTAACGAGTTCGAAAGGGTGCTAAGATGTTATGCTTGCCATGGTTTTGGGCATGTCGCAAGCGTTTGCAATGTTCGGGAGAAGTTGTGTAGGAGGTGCTGTTCTGCGGGTCACTTAGAGAAAGATTGTAAGAAAGACCCGGAGTGCAGGAACTGCAGGTTGAGGGATTGTGAATCGAAGCATAGCGTGACTGATGTAGCCTGCCCGGAATATCAGAGGGCGTTGTATAGGCTGAAGTCTAGGATTGATTATGGATAGTTCTCGAATGACTGAGAATGGCTTTGGGGTTAGCAAGCTCAGGATGGTGCAGTTGAACTGTCAGAGGTCGTACGCTGTGATGTGCGACTTGGGTGTCAACATGTGTACAAGAGGGATTGCGGTGGCGCTATTACAAGAGCCATATATTAGTGGGGGTTCTGTGCGAGGATTGCCATCATGGATGAGAGTGTATGTGAGTGCGGATGGTGGTTCGGCTGTGGTTGTGTGTTGTGAGAAAATAGAGTGTGTGCATGTGAGTGATCTGAATGATTTGGGTGTATGTGTATGGATGAAGGGTGTGTTTGGTATGTTGCATGTTTGTTCCGTGTACTGTCGATGGGGTGCTGACTTAAGCGTGTACATGAATTACATGGATAGGGTCCTTGACAGGGCGAGGGAGCGTAATGTCTTGTTTTGCTTGGATGCGAATGCCGTGTCGGGTGCGTGGTATAGTAAGATGCGAGGTAGCTACCCGAGGATTGGTGGTGATAGAGACGTGAAGCTGGAGGAGTGGCTGCTGAGCAGGGGCTTAATCGTGCTAAACGAACCGAGCTTGATTTACACGTTTAGCGGGGCGCGAGGGGATAGTGACATAGATGTTACGATGTGCAAGTATGAAAGTGAGAATGAACGGTTTGAATGGAATGTTGTGAATGAATGGGGAATGAGTGATCATAACGTGATTCGAATCGATTATGTGTACAGAGAGTGTGTGGAAGATGAGAGGTTGCTGTACCCAAAATGGAGTGGTAGGAATGTGCAGTGGGAACTTTATGAAAATATCTTGAGAGAGCATGCGGATGTGTATGGTGTGAATGAGTATGAAAGTTTGGGCGCGTTGGATAAATGGAAGATAATGTATGAATGGATTAAGGAAGCGAATGATGAATGCATGAAGAGAATGAAAGTGCATGTGGGCCGTAAAGTGAAGTGGTGGAGTCCGTACCTGGATGCATGCAGGAGAAGGGTAAGGAAGCTGAGGAAGAGATATCAGAGGCTAAGGCGGAAAAGCGACGAAGAGCTGAGTAGGGGAGCTTGGAGAGAGTGGAAGAGCGGTATGAGAGAGTATAGGAAAAGAATGCTTGAGGCGAAGGAAAAGCACTGGAGGGATTTTGTGGACAGGGTAGGGAATGGGGACCCGTGGGGCGATGTTTACAAGTTGCTTAGTGAAAAAAGGAAGAGGACGAATATAGATGGGATCAGGAAGGATGGAGTTGTGCTTGAGACATGGAGTGAGTGTGCCGAGGCCCTGCTGGCGGAGTTCTTTCCGGTTGAGCAGGAGGGGAGATTATTTGAGGATGTAGTGAGTCTCGATGTCTATGAGATTGATAATAGCATGAAGGAATGGAGTTATGATGAAGTTTCTGGGGCTGTGAAGGCCTCTCGATTGAGAAAGGCCCCTGGGTTGGACGGCGTAACAGTAGAGATGATGCGTGCTGTCTGGAGGGCGATACCGTTTTGGCTCAAAAGTTTGATGGATAGCTGTTTGCGCGAAATGGTCTTTCCATGGGAATGGAAGAAAGGAATAGTCATTGCACTTCTTAAGGGCGCGGATAAGGACCGGGCTTGTATGCGGTCCTATAGACCATTTACGCTGCTTCCGACGATGGCGAAGCTGCTGGAAAGGTTGATGGTTCAAAGGGCGGAGGCCAAGATGGTTAATAGAAGGAACGAGTGCCAGTTTGTGTTTAGGCGTGGAAGGTCCGTAGAGGATGCATGGTGTCGCTTGAACGAGCTGGTTGAGACATCACGGAAAGAAATATGTTATGGGCGTTTTTGTTGACTTTAAGGGTGCTTTCGACAACTTGTTGTGGAATGCCGCCACCCATGGTCTTGAGGAGGTGGGCTGTGAAGAGATGGGACTGTGGAAGAGTTATTTCTGTGATAGGGTTGTTTGCATGACGGGCGTGAATGAGGTCGTGTGGAGCGCAGTGAAAAGGGTGTGTCCGCAGGGCTCCATTTGTGGTCCCTTTATTTGGAACCTTTGTATGAATGATTTGCTGAACGTCTTGTGTGAGCGTGGATATCGTGTGATTGCGTACGCGGATGACTTGACCTTGGTAATTGAGGGTACGAGTAGGGACTTGGTTGAGAGTGAGATACGTGAGTGCATGTCCTTGGTGTGTGAATGGGGTCGCCCTGTGGGTGTGTATGTGTCTAGTGATAAGACGGTGTGCATGTTGTTGAAGGGTAGGTATGAATGTAGGAATGTGAGAGTGTATGACTGTGAGTTAGAGAGTATAAGGCAGGTGAAAAGTGTGAAATACCTGGGTATCAGGGTTTCCGAGGGCATGCAATTCAGAGAACACCTGGTCGAAGTTAAGAGCAAGGTGCTGAGGCTGGTGAGCCAATTTAGGAGAGTTTTGAGGAAGGATTGGGGATTGAAGGGAAGAGTAGTGAGAATTTTGTATAATGGCGTTTTTGCCGCGTGTGCGCTATTCGGTACTAGTGCATGGGGGGGTTGCATGGAATTTAAGTATGGTAGAGTGTTGCTTTTGCAGGCTCAGAGGGTAGTTTTATATGCATGCATAAGGTTCTGTAGAACGGTGTCGACCGTGGCGATGCAGGTGTTGGCCGGGACAGTCCCGTGGGACTTGGAATGCGAGAGGCGAGGTGTTGTATATAGGTTTAGGAGAGGAATGGAATCGGACAGGGATGGATGGTTACGAGGGATGGATGTGGAGGGCTTGCGGGTGCGAGAGGTGGAGAGATTGCTGAAGATGAAGGTATATGAAGAATGGCAGTGCAGATGGGATAGTACGGAGTGTGGTGAGGTGACTCGCCGGTTCATTAGGAGGGTCACATTGAAAGAGGAGGGAAAGTTATTCGATCTGACGATGCATGAGCTGTTTCTATTGACGGGGCATGGAAGTTTAAAAGAGTTCTTATTTTCAAGATCGTTGTCGAGTGTTCCCGGGTGCGACTGCGGCGGTGAGAGTGAAGACTGGTTGCATGTTTTGTGTGTGTCCTTTGTACGATTCTGAACGAGATTTGAATGCTATGGGTGTGCTTGTGAGTCAGAATGGTGAGGTGGATGTGAGCATGATTCTGGAGTGTGAGAGTACTTGGCTAAGGTTTCGAGATTTCGCAGGACTGATCTTCGAAGACAGGAAGAGACAGTTGAATGCATGACAATGGTGGGGGTTATAGTCCCCCACCACGGTGTTGAATTGTGTGAATGCTGGATCGATGGTATGTGAATGGGTGTGCTGATGATTGTGAGAGTGTAAGACGGTATGTATGGTGTGTGTGTGTTGGTGTGAATGGTGAATGTGTGAGTGCGATGGTGGGTTAAATGGTGATTGTGCATCATGAAAATCGATGCAGGTGCGGGGGAATGTCGCAGGGAGACCGGTTGGACTGGCCAAAGCCCCCTCGGGGGTGATTCCAGTCCTAGGTATTTGGGGTTGGCGATCCCACGAACCCGGGTTGGCTGACCAGAGCTGAGGGGCGCGAGACCCTCGTCTGGTAGCAGCGGAGTGATCCGCTGCGAAACCCAGACCCAGGGGATAAACGGGTACCGCGGGGGCCGGGGCGCCCGTGGGGGGCTTTTCCCCTCACCCCCGGCCGCTGGGAACGGTCTCGCGGGGGCAGTGGTTGAGAGCCCACATCGCGGGCTAGGGCGGGGTGGGCCCGGGCCCCTGGTCGCCGATCGGGGGACGCGCTCGCGCGCCCGTCAGTCGGTGGCTGGGGCTGGGGACTGCGCCGCCCGGCGCGTGAGCTGCGTATCAGCTCGGGCACCGGCCTGCAGAGCCGGTAGGGGTTTAGATAGGCCCCGCCCCGACCGATGGGGTCGGTCGCTCTCGCGAGCGGCCAGCGTACCGGTAGTCCCCGCTTGCGCGGGGACGCGCTGATTGGGCGTACACCAATCCCACGCCCATGGGGGCCGTGTGGTGAAGCCGAAAGGCAGGTACCGCACGTTAAACCAACAGACTCTAATGTCCCTATCTACTATCTAGCGAAACCACTGCCAAGGGAGCGGGCTTGGAAAAATTAGCGGGGAAAGAAGACCCTGTTGAGCTTGACTCTAGTCTGGCACTGTAAGGGGGCATGAGAGGTGTAGCATAAGTGGGAGATGGTGACATCGCCGGTGAAATACCACTACTTTCATCTGTTCTTTACCTACTCGGTTAGGCGGAGCGCGTGCGCCAGGGATATTACTTCCCGGCTGTCACGGTATTCTAGAACCAAGCGTGTAAGGGTGGCGCTGAGGCTTCGGCCGATCGCCGATCATACTCCCGCGTGATCCGATTCGAGGACACTGCCAGGCGGGGAGTTTGACTGGGGCGGTACATCTGTCAAAGAATAACGCAGGTGTNTTATAACAAATCAATAAGAATGAAGAAAAAGCTAAGATATTAAGGAGTACAACCAGAAATGGGAATGAAAATTGGAGAGCATGTTAAAACGATATTAGATAAAAGCACAAAGACGATAACACAACTAAGAACAATAACACGAAAGACGTGGGGGCCGGATGGGAGTATATATTGAATACGAGGCATATAAGAGATTTAAGATATGCACAACGAAGAGCCCTTATCTGGACGACCAAGGCGTACCGCACGGTCTCGGTTGAGGCCTTGATGGTACTGATGGGAGTATTACCGATCGAAATGGAAATAAAAAAGAGGAAGTTATATTACAAAATAAGGAAAAAGGAAGGTTTTAAGATAGGAAACTATGAGTATGTGCCGCCGGGGGATAACATGGAGGGATGCCAGAGGAGGAAACAGGAAGAAAAAGGAAAGGAGAGGGTAGAGGAAGAGCTATATGAAGAATGGCAAAATGAATGGGAAGAGTCAGAAAAAGGAAGAAATACGTATGACTATTTAAAAAATGTAAAGGAAAGAAAAGAAATGGATTGGGTCATAATTAATCATTATACGACACAGTTTCTGACTGGCCATAGAAATTTCGCGCACAAACTGAATAAACTAGGATTAAAAGACAAAGCAGAATGCGAATGTTGGGAAGCCGATACTGCTAACCATGTAGTCCTCACGTACGGCCTATACAGGGAACAAAGGAAAAAGCTAAATAGAGAGAGAGAAAAATCGCGGGATTACGGAATGCTGGAGTTGAGAAAACTAGTAACTAGAGAGAGAACTGGAGAGAAAGCTTTTGCATGTTTTTGTAAAGAGGTTTTAGAAATGAGGGAACAAGTAGGAATAGGTTGTGATATAGAAAATATGGGGAAGGGGAAGGGAGAATAGAGAAGGGTAATTTTAGAATATAGCTAGTCAATTAATCTAGTCAGGTGAGGAGAGGAGAATAGAATGCTAATTTATTAAAGATAGAAAGATAAGTATAGGCAGGAGGCAGGGGCGGAAGTAAAGGAGGGAAGACAAGAGAAGCAAGAAAGGTAGGAGAAATCAAAGGAGTGGATGCTAAAGAATGGGGAAAACAGTAACGGTAAAAAGGAGAGAGGATTGAAGGATAGGGAAAATATAGATCGAGTTCAATACTGGCAACCCCACCTCCATGTGGTCCCCGCTGGGCAACGCCCTGCCGCCACCCGGGTGTTTCGATGCCTGGGTGTTGGTGCGGGCCGCCAAGAGGATTGCTGCCCGAAAAGGGCCGGTCCTACCCTTTCAATGACTCCGAAAGGAGGAGAGAGGGGTTTTTCCGGGCCCAAACCGCACAAACACCTACGCGGGTTCCCTGTAGTGGTTTCTGCTGCGTTACGCCTGATCGAAAAGGCGCCCTCCGGGAGTACTGAGCCTTAGGGCAAGGCCCCCCCCCGGGGGGGGGGGGCAGTTATGACCACTCCAGGTCCAGGTGCCGTCCACAGTGGAATTGTAGAGATACAAAGTCAGCAATGTCCCTATCTACTATCTAGCGAAACCACTGTCAAGGGAACGGGCTTGGAAAAATTAACGGGGAAAGAACACCCTGTTCAGCTTGACTCTAGTCTGGCACTGTAAGGAGACATGAGAGGTGTAGCATAAGTGGGAGATGGTGACATCGCCGGTGAAATACCACTACTTTCATCGTTTCTTTACTTACTCGGTTAGGCGGAGCGCGAGCGCCAGGGATATTACTTCCCGGCTGTCACGGTATTCTAGAACCAAGCATGTAAGGGTGGCGCTGAGGCTTCGGCCGACCGCCGATCATACTCTCGCGTGCTCCGATTCGAGGACACTGCCAGGCGGGGAGTTTGACTGGGGCGGTACATCTGTCAAAGAATAACGCAGGTGTCCTAAGGCCAGCTCAGCGAGGACAGAAACCTCGCGTAGAGCAAAAGGGCAAAAGCTGGCTTAATCTCGATGTTCAATACGCATAGAGACTGCGAAAGCACGGCCTATCGATCCTTTTGGCTTGAAGAGCTTTCAGCAAGAGGCGTCAGAAAAGTTACCACAGGGATAACTGGCTTGTGGCGGCCAAGCGGTCATAGCGACATCGCTTTTTGATCCTTCGATGTCGGCTCTTCCTATCATTGCGAAGCAGAATTCGCCAAGCGTCGGATTGTTCACCCGCCAAAAGGGAACGTGAGCTGGGTTTAGACCGTCGTGAGACAGGTTAGTTTTACCCTACTGATGACTGGTCGTTGCGATAGTAATCCTGCTCAGTACTGTGGGCCCGGTTTACCGGCGGCTAGTCCGTCGGGGCCTGGGTCCCGCGGTAGCGGGTACGCGAAGAGGATAGGGGACCGGGGGCCTTGGCTTAACCACCCGGGCCGCGAGGAAGAAAACCTCTATAAAAACTTACCCCAATCCCAAAGTATGACGCGCGCTGATGGGATGCGTGGCTGGAGGGAAGTCCAGTCGCGAGCGGCCAACCACCGGGGCACCTGCCGCACCCCGGGCGGTATCTAGGCTTGCCTCGGTAAGGGCCGGCTCTGGCGAGGTTGACGCACATTTCCGACCGACTCGTGGGAACAACATGGAACAAACTTAGAACCCCCTCCAACATTATTAATAAGAGAAAGAAAAAATCCAAAAAGGATGGCGGCGATACCACTGCTACTATCACCTCTGAAGAGTTTGATACCGCCTCTCAGGCGACGATCTTCAGAGCGAGTAGCCAGGCCAGCATGGACCTTGATGCAGAGGGATTCGTTGCAGCCCGTCGCAAAAGAAAGCACAGCAGCCGCTCCGTTGAGGAGCCCGTGACCACCAGTGAGGATCCCCTGAGTATAACAGAAGCGATGCGTGAAATCCAGGGATTCTGCCTCGAGTCTGCAAATAAAATTGGCAAAGAACAAGCACACTACATACTTGCGAGGTTCACAACGGTCTCTGAGCTGGCGCAGAGACTGGTCGTGAAGAACTCTGTCCTTAAAGACAGAGTTTGTATCGGCCGAGGCCGGCCGCGGCTGGAGGTAGAACCCCCCTCCATTTTTGGGGGGTTAAACAACCATCTGCCTCCAGCGCCCCACTATCATGGGGGCCTGGTGGCCCATGACGGACTTGGAAAAATCCGAATGCTCCGGACCGCTCGACAAACCCTGGGGAGGCGCTAGCCGGGTCGGGGCCTCCGCGACGCACTCCCCGAAGGGAGGCCGCTTGACCCTGCCCGTTGCCCGCGGGGAACCCCGTGGAGGTCTCACCCCTGCACCCGCGTGATGCAAGCATCCGTGCAAGGCGCCAGCTGAGACGTAATGCTCCAGCGTGGTTTGGCGAGCGTTCCCGGCTAAGTCGGGCGGGAACCCGATCCATCGGCTGAGTTGATCCGGCAAATATAGGATCGGTTATCCCGCCTATCGGCCCGTACTAGCTCGCCGGCCTTCTTATTACGGCCGGTAGGGCCGGCCCCCAACCCGCACCCGGATAAACCGAGGACACGGGACGCGTTACCCGGAGCACCTCCAGCCGTCCGGTCGAGAAGTATTCCCATGATGAGGGCCACATTTCGCCGGTAACTCTAGGGGGAACAAGAGTGTGGTCAAAATCCGCAGAGCGAACATCTCTCATGGTTCCCCAGTAGCTATTTGCCATTTCGTTACGGATCCATGGGGACCCGCATCCAGCCCCACCACGAGGAGGTTTACGGATGGCTCTTGGACGCGTGGGGGCTGCCCCTCCCCCACGTCGTTGCCTTTCGGAGGCCTGTCCTTAAAGACAGAGTCGAAAATAGTTGTGCAGGTATGGCTGATGGACCGAGTACTCCACGAACGACGTACGCTGGAGCGCTAAGGGGTGTTGGCCCGCCCCCTGCTGCCGCCCCACCGGTATCCGGGACACGAAGAACTCCACCTAAAACAGCGAATGTCGCAATTGTAAAATCCAGTGAAGAGTTGAATCTAACTGCGGACGAGACCATACGTGCCCTTAAATCGGCCGTTGTCCCGGTGCGAGATAATATTAAGGTTAAAGGTATCCGGTAGTGAAGAGACGGAGCAGTGGTAGTCGTTACTGAGTCCAGGGAGGATGCCTTGAGGTTAATGGAAAAAAATATCGACCTCGCCTTATATGCTATCAACGCCGCGGAATCAAAACAAAGGGGCCCTAGACTTATTATCTATGGCGTCCCCAAGGAATACAAAGAGGCAGAGTTTCTCGAACAAGTCTACGAACAAAATAACCTACAGGGAATTATATCTACCAAGGAGGAATTCCTCCAGAAGATTTCGGTGAGATTCAAAACTCCCTCTAGAAACAACAAGGAGCAAAATGTTAATTATGTGATCGAGACCACCCCAGCGCTGAGAAATCATTTACGTACTGTGGGGCGTATCTATGGCGGCTGGCACTCGTTCCCGGTCCAGGATTGGATCGTGTAACTAGGTGCTACAAGTGTCAGGGCTTTGGCCATGTGTCTAACAAGGAAGGTACCTGAGGTGTCCCCCTCCGATTTTGTTCATTTTTAAATATGTNTAAGGCAAATATTTATGCGGCAAAGCTGGCCAGTTGGAGAACTTTGGTCACTGAGGAGGGTAGCCGGGATCCTTGGGGTCTTGTCTACAAACTGGTTCGAGACAAATTCAACAACGTGGAACCTCTTAGTGCCCTAAAGATTGGTGACGGAATCCTTGACGACTGGCGAGGGGTCGCGAAATGTCTGCTCGATACCCTTCTGCCCGACGATCCTGCCCCCCAGGAATACGAACGGCTGACCACTGAACTGCGTGCATCTGTCTCCACCGCGCCTGAACCTCGAAGCGAACCTTTCACCTCACAGGAGGTCGCACGGGCTTTTGGCAAAATGAAGAACAGAAAGGCCCCCGGGCACGATGGAGTTCCCCGTGGAAATTCATAAATCCATAGCCATACGTGACCTAACCATCTACACGGATCTTTTTAACTACTGCCTACAAACCAGGTACTTTCCGAGGGAATGGAAGCGCGGGATCACCCGAGTCATCTTTAAACCGGCTCGCGCGGCGTGGCCTATTGGTCCCCGGGCCGTTAAGAGCGCCTCGAGTCGGGTCCACGGGATCCAATACGGGGGATAAGTGTTAAAAGATTTAAAGATACGATCACTGTCGGAAGCCCCGACATATCGATAATAAAGTAAAGAGTTATTGTGTTGAGGAAATAAGTGGGATCACTGTCGGAAGCCCCGACATATCCGAATTAATAAGAGTTGATAAAAGTTGAAGTAATAATTGCCGTCAAAAGAACGACGAGTTGTGTATTAGTGACTAGTACGTGGGAACAACGCCGCGAAGTTCGACGCCGCCGAAGATCACTCATTAACGTCCGCGAAGTACCGTGTGATCGTACGTTTGCTGATGACCATTGCGTCCTATTGTTGTTGAATAAAGAGTTTAACGGAGAATCGCGTTGATTAATTCAACCCGAGTTAAGAGATTCCTGGCCATCCGGAAGGTTCTCTCTCTTCGGATCAGCTCGAAGGGTGGACCAGACGACGAAGCGACTGAATCATACCTTGGTGTTTAATAGGTCAAAACACCTGGCAACCACATAAAAGGAAACAAAGTTCGTGCCTCCACGGGACACCCGCGGCACATAAGAAGATTAATTATTTTTATTGCGACTCATAATCAGAAGTCCGATAGCTGAGGCTCCGGTCAAGAACCTGCGCTATCTCACGGGAAGCAACTACCGACGAGGGTCCGGGGAAAAGTGTTGACCTCTCGTTACAGGGAATCGGCTGACCTTAACCTCCGACGCTCGGGGCCCGCTGACCGGTTACAACCTAACCTAACCTTGCGACCGGCGCTGGACCAGGAGAGGCAGTCGATGGGTCAGTTCCTGGCAGCGATGTTCCATGAGCACATGGGACGTCCGGCTGAGAACGACGCCAGGACCAGGTCGGAGGCCGACCCCTTGGGACTCCTTTTGGACGAGGCCAAGGGGCTCCCGGAGTAAAGATAGACAACAAGGAGAAAAAATATGTGTTTTAATTATTGATTTTGATAAAGCTTTAATAAAAGTATATTATATTGTTTTAGAATCATATATATGTGTTAGTGTCAAACCCACTTACTTCCCATAAATATAAGGGGAACTAAAAGTAACGTAAGGGGAAAACAGGTGCTTAAGACCTCGATGGTTTAATACCGAGGCACGCGAGTGAGTGAATAATGCTTACGACGCGAATCCCGCTGGGGACGCGTCATTTAAAATAAATGATTAATTATATTATGCGTTAGTTCCGTTTGGGGCGCGCGATTACGAGAATATAGAAAATGGAGAGAGAAAGGGTGCGCTCCGCGCAAGCGGATCGCTAGGCCGGGGGCGAGCTCCGCTGGGACCCCCCGTGGAGTTAACAGGTAGGACGGACAGGTAGCCGACCCGCGAGATAGAGATCATTCGCGATGAAATTCGGCGCAGGAATAACCTTGATAAGCCGCGCGACGGGGACACCATGTGAGCCCCGGACGCCATTCACAAGCGGCATAGTAATGAGAGTGAGCCTGCTCGAGCGCCGTAAGTCACGCGCTCCGAGGTCAGGATCCATGCGCCCATTGAGCAAGCCGGACCGTCGCACCGTAAGGGGATGCGCTCGAGGGGAGAAAGGAAGGCGACCGCGTGGTAAGAGACCACGTGGTGTCGGCCCATTCACGAATTTAAAGGCCTGGGCCGCCGCGAGCGTATGAGCCGCGACCACCCGTCGGCATACACGATGGTAAGGCCATCTAGCGGCCGATCGCCCAAGTTGTTATGCACGCGCGATTCCGACGCGTTAGGCCGCGAGAGCCGCGTACGGGAGCTGCTGCCACCGACGGGGATTCTCCGAACTCCCTTGCTCGCGCCAAACGGAGCCTAATTCCTACGCATAAGAAAGAGCGACCCGATTAAAATTAATGTTTTATCGATGTACGGAGGACCGCGGCGATTTGTATTCGCACGCATTAAAGCCTCCTTATTTTATGCCATGCGGCGAGTATCGAACTCGCGCGATAACGGCACGTACAGCCGAAATAGACAATTTTTTTATTAATAATTAGGCAGGTAAAGCGTCGTCCGCGATCTAATGTATCGGGAGTAACTAATAAAGCCGAGAGCTACCGAACCCGATTAATTTTGTAAGCCTACGATTATTATTAACAGAGA